CTCTCTCCTCTCTCCTCTCTCCTCTCTCCTCTCTCCTCTCTCCTCTCTCCTCTCCTCTCTCCTCCCCTCTCTCCTCTCCTTTACTGAGTAGTTTTCACAGAAGATTGGACTGGCCAGGGCTGCCGTTGTCAATTTCTTCTAATTGAGACCTCTCTGCTGAGCAGTATCTTCTATTTGAAGTGCCCGAAATCGCAAAAATCGGTCTGCGGAGATTCTCTGGACGTTGTCAGTTTCTTCTATTTGAAACCATGGCCCAACTTCCCCAAAATGACTGCCTTCTATTTGAAAATATTGTTTCTTATCTTCTATCTTTCCCGTTCGGATTATAGTGAATGAGTGGTTCGGACAGCTGCTATGCGAAGAGGGATATGAATCAGGGGGTCGATGGTGTCCCAAGATTTGCAAAATACACCTTAGTTGCCCAAACATGCATTGTTGAGAAAGTTTGCGCACAGTCTAACGAGCATCCGCCATCAATAATCAGTGGAAATGTGGTGGTTCTCTTAAAAGGATTCTCAATAGGATAGAAGTTCTCACAGATTGCATTTGCAAACATGTCCTATATTGCAGTGCCTGGCATCCGTTGGTAACCCGGTCATAGACTTCCGGATGGCACTCTAGGCATCCAGAGAGAGGGAATTAATCCCAGAGTAACTCAGAAGAATCAGGAGTGGAATGGTTGTTGTGAATCATTCCCTGAGCGGTTCAACAAACCTGTGCCGCCACTTATTTTTGAACTAAGTAGCCCCGACAAGGGTATGCCAGTAGGGCAGTGCACCGGCTTTCATGAACATTTGCCAGTGAATCCATGTATTCAACAGATTTTGTGCCCACATAGCATGGATCAGTAAAATGACGTAAAATGACGTTATTTCCCCGACCCACCTTCACATTGCGCGGAGACAGACACCAGGTCTTCTCCACCGGCCGTGGTCGTGACCCTCACGCGGCGCTCCGCCTCCGAGGCCCTCGGGTAGGCCGCTAAGAGGGAGGTAGCTAGTACCATCTGGTACCTTGGTGAAGCTGCTACCGACAGGACGCACGATAGCCCTGCTTCAAGGGCGGCAGGGGGAGCTTCCTTGAAGAAGGGCTATCACTAATGATTGGTTCCTAGATTTTTAGGGAACCGAACCGAAATTCAGTAGGCGCCTACTTAATGAAGTAAGGAGGTACTGGTAAGCTACTAACTAGCTACTTAAGCAACTACGTACGGACGCAGATTTCTCACGCTCGCGCTAATGATTTGGCCCTGGGAAACTTACTTACTCATTGCAATTGTGTTTTTCTATGTGTGTTTTATCATGGTCTATTTTGGTTTGGGCTGCTACTTGGGAGGCTTCTAGAAGGAACCATTTGGATGGGATAGCTGCAAAAAAGGGCACATCTTGAAGAGTCCGCAGGTTCAGTAGAGTTCTTATTCAAAAGGCACGCGCTTATTCTCCAATAGCAGGGTTTCTTGAATTCGTGGCATTTGGCCAGTTGCGTCGTGTTCGGGCTTCTTGCATCGATGCAAGATTCCCTATCCGCTAGCTGCTAGCTTCTTCACAACGGCCGCGCAGGTTGACGAGATCCATCAGCAACGGGGGTGCACTCCAGGCAAGTGCAAGTGTTTTCTTTAAACCATTCCTGGTCAACTTGCAATCGCCAGCTGCCACATGTTTCAGTTGGCAGGTCTGACCAAATGATGCAAAGCTTTGGTCACCTACACTTACACTAGAGAATCCAGTGTTCTATCCTTGATGGAAGACATGACTTCTTGCCACACAACCCAAAGTGAAGACTTGGTAGCTTACCAGATCCATCTACATCCCAACTCGCCAACTGATGCTAAAGTTCTTCATGTCAAAGGGTCGCTCAGGGGGTCCATTGGTCGTTTGCGGGTTCTGGCATCCCAAGACAGGACAGTTGGAAGGAGACGCTTGGGTAAAACCAACTGCAGCAGCTTGGACGCTGCGGTTCTCAGTGATCTCGCGGCTGGAGGTCTCAGTACTCGACGTGGGGCTGTGGGGCGAAGAATTTGGTGACTCAGGGGCGATGCGAGTCCCAGGCTCGGCTAATGATCCAAGCGCAGTGGCCAAAATGAGTGCAGCGCAGCACTAGAAGCAGTCGCCCGCTTGCGTCAGGGCCCAGGGCTGGTATTTGATACTGGTGGTCCTACTGCTTTCATGTTCACTTCGACTGGGGAGGTGATTGCACATTAAGGGCCTCCTTTGTAAATCTCAGCATAACTCTCTATATAATTCTATATACTGTATATATATATATATGATCAAATCGTTGAGTTGTGTTGGGGATCACATTCAAGATGATTCAGCCTATACAGCTAGAAATAGGCAAAATACGTCGCCAGTCATCATGCTACATTCTCCTACGTTCTAGAACGGCTTTTCATGACACAGAAATCAAGTGATTGTCTCTAGGGTGTCTAGGCGAATGGCTCCACTGTTTGATCCGAACCACTGGCTCCATCCCTACCATGCAGCTTGTGGCTGAACAGAGACGACAGATGCAGGCATGGAAACGACAGATGCAGGCGGTGTGTTGACACCCCAAGCACAGGCGCGAGAATGAGTTTCTTTATATAACCGCCTTTAATCAATTGAATCATTTGCTTGCAAATTTCTTTGGTGCTGAAGATCCTTCATCTCCAACTCTTCGAGATCTCCATATTTGCTTCCGCAAATGCCCAGTTCAGCTGTTGCCTTCCAAAGCATGGGCCTAAACAGATCATGAAAAGGGATCTGGAATCCGTCCCCGTCGTTCGGGGAGTTCTCATGGGGTGCTGTTTGCGGAGCAAATCGCTGCCGAGTGGCTCGCCGTGGCTGGCATTCGCGCTCCTTGTGGCCGTAGCGCACCGTTGCTGGGCGGAGACCGGAACAGTGCGACCTTGTGACCTTTTGCGAGGGATCAACAGATGCCTAGTTGACCAGTGTTAAGAGAGGAATGACCCCAGGTGAGCAACCGCCAAATGCCACCAATTTAAGCAAGAGCGCTCGTGATGCTCAGGAGTTTGGCTAAAACTTGCATAAGCGATAGGCCCCCTCAAAAGTGGTAACCTTGTCAGTTTTTGGATTTCAGCTATGTTGAAAGTGGCTGGGGCCTGAAAAAGCAATACCCTTGTTGAATCAAGCCCTCTTCATTGACGAGACTGTTATGGCAGAGGCTCCGGTGCTGATGAGAATCCTTTTTCCTTTTTCCACGTAGACAAATTTAAATGCGTGATAATGTGTGTGTTTGTCTCAATGACGTCAGCAATTCGGAGCTTTGAAGTCCGAGATGGCAACCACGATATGGAGGGTTCTCAGCCCATCAACCAGAGGCCACGGAGGCTTTGCCTTGACAGGCCACGGTCCTTTAGAAACTGCTGGGGTTTGGCCACAAGCCTCTTTTCGTGAGCGGATTCCAATCAAGCCATGCACTCCTCGATTTCAGATCAAGCAGCGTCATCCCGAAACACACGCCTCACCTGGTCAGAATACCATCACTATCCAACACTAGTTTCAAAATGACTTCCTGAAATCAGTCAGACACCAGATCTATATTCTACTGTAATTAGTCTAATTACAGATCTATATTCTAATTATTCTACACTGTATCGAGTCCTTCCAACTCGAACTTCTGCAGGCACCGGCACCTTTTGCGGCGGTGCTCCGCTGCTGTTCAAGCGGAGTGGACGAACGTTCGCAGCGGGGCGCCTGGCCACGGACCCCAACTTCGCAGCGAATGTTGGGGATTCTTGGATGTCCCGCAGGGCTTGGGTCTTAACTCTAGATTACATAAATTGATGATGGTCAATTCAGGGTAGGGCAAGGAGTTATTTTGATCCTTTAATATCATCATTCAATATCAATTATATATTAAAGCAAAAAAAGGTGGGGTCGAAGGTAAATCAGAATCACCCAGCCACGTTTTCTCGGCTCAGGAGGCAACTGAGACGGTGAGGAGCGACCACGCCCAAATCCCTCGTTTGGCTCCTGGCTTGAACGTCGCAGATCCTCGTGTGTCCTTGGAAATCGCACAGGTGTGGTCACATGCGGACAGCTCAGTGGATGATCTTTGAAGACTATAGATGTAACATGATCTTTGGGAAAAGCTGGAAGAACACGTGATACTCATTGATACTCATGTTTCTGCACAAGTTTCTGCACAAAGCTTGCCAATGCATGACCAAGTCACCACTCTTCACCAGACTCATTGGCCCTGAGGTGAGCGCCCTGAGATTCTCTGGACTCACGCAATACCGCGAATTCTGGGACAATTTTCGATCTGGAGTAGAGCTGGTGAGTGCCTCTGCCATCAGCGAGGTGGTGAATGTGGTGCAGTCTGGCTTATACTTGCGGGTCCGCTGGCGGTTGATCATGAAGCCGAAAGATGTACCTATGGCAGCCAGTGTCAGTGGGGTCTCAAGGTTTGGACAGAAAAGACAGGGCTACTTCGTTTGTCGATTCCAAAGGTGTATTGTCAGCGTGGTGTGCGATTGATTGGACCACCTCAAGAGTTACCCCTACAAACCAGAGGCCGCCACCTTTGGCGGCCCCCGTTTTGAGCCACAGAGAAGCTTCATTGAACTACACTCCAGGCACTGGACAAGAAGGCACTCTTAATCTGTACTATCAAAAAATTGTTGGAAGTTTGGCCCAAGGACCGCTGGTCACAACAATGTAAACCATTGGTGTCCTTCTCTCCAGCTCATGCTTTGGATGATGAAGTGAAGCATCATCCACACGATGTCCGCATGGTTCGACCGGAAACGCCTCTCTTTCTGACCGGGGGGCTGGGTCTCGAGTCCGAAGAGTCCCCAGGTGGTCGCCCCGCCCGTCACGACGGTCCGGTCGCGACCGGTCCAAGGTCTTCTCCGGCGCTTTGGGCGGGGTGCAAGCCGCCCAAGGAGCCTTTGGCAACCTGCGACAAGCGGTGCCGAAGGATGGGCGTCGAGAAGCAGCAGTTTTGTTGTGGGGTTGATTTGGTTTGGATTGTTGTTGAGTTCTTATCATAACATCATTACAGGCATGTGTATCAAAAAGAAATTAATTACTGAATCAAAAAAGTAATTACGTAATCAAACATATATTAATTAACTATTCAAAAAATAACTATTGTCCTTTCCCGTCTCTTGTATGCTTGCTCCTGGTCCCCTTGGTCCCCTGGTCCCCTTGGTGCCCTGGTCCCCTTGGTCCCTGGTCCCCTGGTCGAAGGGAAGGGAAGGAAGGAAAGAAGGGATCAAGGTAGGAAGTGAGGAAGGCAGGAAGGATGGAAGCAAGGCAGCCAGGAGGCAAGGAAGCACGGACAGAAGAAGGCAGGAAGAAACAACGTAACAAAGGAAGGACCACAAGGAACATGAAGAATAGAATTAAACAACAATAAACAAAAGAACCATCAACCATGTTAATGGAGGTGCGTTTTTTTCGGGATTTTTTTTGTATTTTTGTTGCTTCTGATTTTGCTGTGTTTTGCTTTTGTTGCTTTTCTGCTTCTGCGTTGTTTTTGCTTTTGTTGCTTTTCTGCTTTTGCTGCTTTTCTGCTTCTGCTGCTTTTTTGCTTTTGTTGCTTTTCTGCTTTTTGTGTTTTTGTCTTTCTGTTCTTTGCTTTTGTTGCTTTTCTGCTTTGGCAGCTGTTCTCCTTTCTCTTTTTGTTTTTGCCTTTTCCATTTGTTTGGTTTGCAGAGAAGAAGCCAAACAAGAAAGCAAGCAAGCAAGCACGAGCTGCTCACCTTTGGATCTGGTGTGCTGCTGGGGGGGCGCTGCGCCCCCCCCCAACCCCCCCGCACCACGAAATCTGCACTTCATCTCCGACACCCGCGCCTGCCACGAAATCAATATTTTAAGGTGAACTCCCCGGTGCAAAAACTTCTAACCAACCAAATACGCCTCCTGTGCTAGTTCTCTTTCTCTTTGCTGTTTCTCTGCTAACTGCACCAAACTATTGTGATAGGTAGGAATTTCTCTCACACCTACACTACTCCAATGTATTTTGCCAGCTACGACAGCTCCCGAATTAGTCTAATCAACTAGCAACCAATATGAAACCTGCACTATTCTAATGTATTGGGCCAGCTGCGACACCTGTGTCTCTGCTAAGGACACGAAATTGCTGTAATTACAGTAGCTAGGTGCCAATAAGAAACCCGCTCTATCCCAGAGAGCTCGTGGCAGAATAGTTTCTTTTTGATTAAGTAATCAGTTCTTAATTGGTCCCCTCGAATAGTACTTTTTGATGCGGTAAATAACTTTTTTGATACTTCACCCATCATAACATTCAAAAACGTCATACATTTGCGGGGTGATGTCATTTGTTGCATCCCTTGAAGCTGTCATTTGAGTTGGAAAGGACATTGAAGTTGCCATTGCAGTTCAATACCTACTGTAAGACATTGTAAGACTACAAGAAAGAGAAGTCTCTTGGAACAACATGAGCAACTGAGCACCATCGCAGCTCACCGTTGACTTCAGCTCTGTCAGGATTTGCCCTTCCAAGCGAATGATTTCTTCCGCCAAGCCGAGCAATGGACCTCTCAGGCCTCCGCCGCGGCGGCCGAGGCCGCCCGCGACGCGTCGGAGGCCGAGAGGGTGGTGGAGTTCAACTCCATCTACGAGACCTGGTGATGTGTTTTTTTTCGCGGAACACTTGGAGGCCGGTGACCGAAAAGCGGAATTGCTGTTGGAGGGAGTTGATAGATCCAAGAATTTGCTTGGTGCCCTATTCACTGTTTGTGTTGCAGTCTGGACATTGCTCGATGCGTGAAAAAGAATCGAACCAAACATGTGGTAGAGTTGAACGCCAAAATGGATCAAAAAAGTGGATCTCAACCACATAATTGCCTTGAAGTGTTTAGTTCAGGTCAACTCTTTCAGCCACAGAGTTGTCTTTAGTAGATCTGCAGGTCGCCTGATGATGCTTAGAATATCTTAGAATTGAATTGAGGTGAGCGATGTGAAGATGAACAACATGTCACTGCATGTGGGACATTGATGGACATTGACGGTTGGAACCCTTTGGCATCCACGCATCTTTCAGTCACAGGACTTCTGGGTTTCATTCAACTCAGTCCTCCTTGGGCCTTTCTTCTAGACCTTTCCACAATTGGTTTCCCCACGGCCCGGAGAAATCGGTCCAGCTTGACCAGCTGAGGAGCTCGATTGCTGGAGCGGGCGGATTGTGAAGCACACCTTGGAGTTCCGAAGCCCCGACACTCGGCGCGACGAGACTGGAGCGACTTGCTACCACCAAGGAGCATCAAAGGAATTGTTACTACCTGTAAGGCACTTGTTACTAGAAGCGATGCACTTGTTACTACTTGCTTCTTGTTACTACTAGTAAGGCACTTGTTACTACGAGCATCAACTCAAACCTCCTTTTTACAGATTACATTACTGTAACGTACTGGATCCTTTTTTCTTTGGAGCCAAGGCTGCAAGCTTGGTCTCATACAGGTTTGAAGATCTTTGCTGGCCTCCCACAGACAAAAATCCCATTCTGTAAGTCTACCTGGCATCCACCACACTACACAGAATTGATACCGCTGGTGCAAGAACTGACTCACCCTTGTGTCGATGTGTTCACGGTCTTTGTGTGCTTGTTCTACTGCAGTCAGCAGTCCAAGGAAGAAAATTTCGATCTGCTGGGCACCTTGGCAGGAATGCCCGCACGATGATGGATCCCAAAAAGGGCGATCGATCTACTGGTGGTGGGGGATGTGGGACTCGGATGATCCTGATCATTTGTGCCCTCTTTATTTGGAACTCGTACTCAGTATGGAGATGAACATGGGAACAAATACCTGTCGCAAAATACCTGTCGCAAAAGAGCACCTAGTCAGATCTAGTCACTAGTTGCTAGACTTTGTGACTCGTCCGCTTTCCTGCATGACTGATTTGTTCTTCATCTTGACGAGGCCCCGGGGATGACTCAACCGGCGATGGATGCTTTTTCGGGAGCATTTGTTCCCTGAGGGTTAGACACCCAGGAAAGATTGAGACCAGTACAGAGTGTTCTTTCGGCTCTTTGTGAGGAGGGCTAAGCTGGCTGAGCTGATGAAGATCAGTGGGCTTGAACACCTTGAGATCATCCAGCTGCGGCTGCTTGCCCGATGACCTTGACGTTGGCTCCAGGACAACCTCGCAACTGGTGCTTCCCGCTAGCTCAGAATGAAAGCTCAACACAAACTCAAGCACTCCCAACACCCAATTCACGCAAGAGCAACCGCCTGAAAAGATTTGTCCACTCAGACGACTCGACATACCTATGAAGTCAGCGTTGTGTAGCTTTGGGCTTTGTGCTAGACACTTCACAACCGCAAGCCACTGCTTACCACTCTGCAAATACACCGACCATCTCCACACCAAGACCATCTCCACACCGACCATCTCCACCTCCGCGCCCGAACGGAACCGGTTCCCGGGCGAGTCACACCGGAGACCTTCCATGGCATGGCGGACCTGGAAGCCTCGGTGCTGAACTCCTTGTGCCGATGCAAGCAAGGCCTTTCTGAAACAGCGTTTCAGCGGGAGAGGTGGTATCCTGCCACCTCAGGTTTACAGGGTTCAGAGTAGTGTACCATATCCTACATACACACGTATATACACATAAATATATACATATAAATATACATAAAAATGTATTTTACCATATTTCATCAATATCTCTGGACACTGCGGTGAACGAAATTGAATCCAGCTGGGCACACCGTGGCACACCCAGGGTGGTTTGTGGGGTGTTCTTGTTAGAGGTTGAGTGTGATGTAGACCTTTTTGGTGAAGGTGACAACTCAGTCTTCTGCTCAGATGGAGCAAGGAAAGAAGAGTGCCGATAATTTTCTTTGGGATTTTGCCAGCTGGATTGGAACCTTGCAGTGGCTCATTAGGATCCATTTGTGTTTCCATAAAGATCCTCTTGAGAAACGCGGCCGGGCCCAAAATCATCGAAGGCGCCGTTAACAAAAATGCTGTGCGAGCCACCCAATGATTGACGCTTCCAGTGGAAACGAGCAAATGGATGCAAATGGCACAATGCTGAGATCTCACCGAATGGATGTATGTGGCAGGCTTAACAAGAAGCTACTAGGGGCTCCTGGCATCGCTACTAGGAGCAAGGACGCTACAAGGGGCTCCTGGCCGTACTACTAGGAGCAAGAAGCTACTAGTAACTGTTGCATTGCTGTAAAATGATCTTTAAAAGGTTTGTCCAATTTCGTCTTGCGTCCTGAAGGATCGTCACATCGGTTGCATTACAAGACACTGTACTAGACTAGACTGGAGACCATTTCTACAGAATGCTGATTACAAGCTAGCCAGAAGCCCAGAAGGTTTTGGAGTCAATCCTGCTTCATGCTTTCGTAAGCCATAGCAAGTTTGGAAGATTGAGTCACAGGAACGTGGATTTGTTTGACATTTGCAAGCTCTTCTCCCAGTCCCATTCTTGAACTACAGAGAACCTTCACGAACAAGTGTGATAGATATGAAGCTTCTCGAACCAGGAGAATAATCTGTGGGTGTCTTCGGGTTTTTGTTGGCAGATGGCAACTCAAAGAGAGTGGAGAGCGTAGTTCCAAGATTCGACAGCTGAAGGGATCTGAAGACGAGGTCATCACCCCTCAGGATCTTTGTTCCACAAAGGTTGGACCCAGGGCGCAGGGGGAATTGTTCCTTGCTGGGCCAGGTGATTTGAAGAAAGGCCTGCCGGTTGAGTTTGGGGAGAGCTTGGATGAGTTTGGGAGTGCAGGAGATGTGTAAAGTGGGGGGTGCATTTATTTGGAAGAGGATTAGTGTGAAGGTGTCAATGATGCATAGAGTATTTGGAGGCTGTCCCAGATCTTTCTTTGGTTTTTCGTTTCGGTGTCAAAAATCAATTATATACAATGGTGTGAGATGATGTTTGGTTTCTGATGACGTGTTTTCAGGGTCCCATGTAGTTACTCAGTGCAGTACAGTCCTCTACAGCATTTGGTAACCCTAGCTGGGTGAGTGGCCGATCCATAGCAGGCCGGGGTTTCGAGCCGCACTAGTTTGAATCAACCACCACACTGCAAGCAGAGAACAGACATGCCGAGACAACCTCTCAGGATCTCTAAGATCCTGAAGACATTGGAGAAAGTGTCAAAACTCTTCAAGGATTCAGCATCTTAGACATACCATTGGACTTGGACCATTGGAATCAGCGCATCTGCGTCACATTGCGTCACCGGACGGCCCTTCGCATCGGGACGGCTGAGGCGATGGCTTTCGCCCCATCCCTGAAGCTGAGGAGGCGGAGTTCTTTCTTTGTGGAGAGCCGCCGGAGGACTGGCAGACCGAAGCGTTTTCTGGACCTGCTGAATGTACCTCAATATGTGTTGCAGTAAATAAGTATAATAAGTGCTTAAACCAGTAGGCGAACTTGCAATCTAGGGACCTCAATAAATCCAACTCGGACTGGGCTAGTCATTTTATAAGAGGTGGTATTGAGTATTTAAGTGATTGAGGGTTATATAAGGTATTTTTGCTGTGCTGCTGGCTGCTTCCAGGACAAGCCATGCGAAGTCTTGTTAAAATGTCAAGGACTTGGAAGTAAGAAACCGTTGATGAAAACCAGCGGCATGAGACTTTGAGGCTTAAACGGGCATGAAACTTGAAGCTTCTGTTGGGTCAATCCACTCGACCACCAGAAACGACCCGAAACCACCAGAAACGGCGCATATTGCCGATTCCACCGCTTCGACAGGTGTACGGTCTACACTCACCATGCGAGCGCCCAGGAGCCCTTGCCACCCGAAGAGGTCCCGCAGCTCCCGAGCCGGCCACGAGAAGGAGATGACCCGCCCTGGGAGAGGATGTTCCTTTTTCGGGTGCAATGTATCTATGAAGCAATTTGAAGCCACTTTTGAAGCCATCTCCCATCAATTAATCCTGGCTCTCCGTGTGATTAGAGTCAGCACAAGCACGGTTAAACATTAAGCCGTCTAAAACTTGAAAGAATATGTCTGAATCGAATCGCTCAAACGTATCGCCAAACTGGCCGAAATCTGGCACGAGTCCAGACAGCACAGCACTGTTCATTTGCCACCGGACAGGAAAGGTGGAGGTGATGGGTCAAAGGGTGGGCCTGTTGGTAAACCACACGATGACATCACACAGGTAGGATGTGTTTTAGAGAACTTTCTTTTTTTGGCCAGTAGGTAGGTAGGTAGGTAGGTAGATGTAGGTAGATGTAGGTAGATGTAGGTAGGGTAGCTAGTAGAGACTGGGTAGCTAGTAGGTACTAGTAAGCTACGTAAGCTACCTACTGGACGCAGGATAGCTCACGCTTCTTCAAGAAAGCTGCCCCCGCCTGAGGGCTTTGAATAAGCGATCGCACTAATCATTTGGTTCCTGGACTTTAGGGATACTTTGAATGATGCTGCCATGAACCCTTTGCAGCCACACTTTTAAACAAACATCGCATGGGGTGTCCAAAGGCTTAGTGGGGCAGCCCATGCTGCATGCTCACACCAAGCATCCCAAGACCCACAATGAGTGGCTTCTCGACCCGTTCGCCTGGTACACGGGCATTTCCAAAGGCTGAAGAAACTTGAATCGATTGGCCCGTGTGTGGTTGGGGAACTGCTGATGTGGACCTGAAAAGCCAATAGAGGAAGACCACAAATGAGTAATGTTCATACGGAGCCTTGCTTGAAGAGCATTGAGGGACTGGCGCTAGATGAGATGAAGTTCTTCTCACTCTTGCGTTTGATAAGTAGGATCCAGGTTGAGGTCTGAAAATAGAAAGAATGTAGGAAGGGTTCCCAATCAATGCTCGTAAAACTTGGAAGGGCTCCAAAGGGCTTTCGAATGCTTCCCACTGCTCAGGTTCCTTTATGGTCGGAGTTCCCACCAAGGGCTCTTCCACATCGTACAGACAATGGTTTTGAGGGATGATTCAATAAAGCAACCAGTGCCACCTGGAAGGAGAATAAAACCAGTGCCAGTGTCAGTTTGTATTTGCAGCAGAATTTGCGCCACCATAAGTCATATTTTCTGATTCTGGGCGGCCAGGACTCATCACCTACTCGGCTGAGATGGATTTGTCGCTCGGTTTGGATTCGGATTGACCAACACCTGGAAGGGCTTTGAGTTGGTGTGTTCAAAGACAACAAGCTTGGTCCGGTCCCGAATCGGTTGGTCACCAAGTCTCCAGGACTCTCCTGGTTCCTCAAGCAAATCCAAGCTAGCTTGGACTTTTCGGAAGGTTCCAAACACCTTTCCAGCAGCTTGGAAAAAGAATATCGAGGTGCGTACGCCGCTTTGGACGCACCCAGAAGGTGTTAGGAGAAATCAGGTCCTTTTTGCCGAAAGTCCAAACGTATCATGTGAACTTAGTGGTAGATAATTAACAAATTGTTGCGTTTGCATTGTTTCCTCCGGTGGGTTTGTTGGACCATTGGATTTTGCGAGACAGATTGAGATAGGTTCAAATTGGTTTGGATTGATACGTTGTTTTAAAAACAACGGTGGGGTTCAACATCGGAGCAACAAGAACAATCGCTCCTTTGCGTTTGAGGGTTTGGATTTCAGCATTGTTTTGCTTTGATGCAAAAGAGTATTCTGGTCCAATTTGAGGTTCCTAAGGTTCTTGGCCATCTATAGAATCTATTGGTTCAATTTGGTTTTGAAAGAAACTGGTTTCTCTTCTAAAAAAGGCGGTGTTCCATTCATCTTGACTTATTTGGAGGTCGGTAATAATTGCACGTTATGACATATGATGGGGCATGGGAACACTATTAATTTTGTTTGTTGCTCAGACAGTAGCCGGGTTGCATCATTTTTTTTTCGCAAGAGATCTCTCAGCAAGGCCTTTGAATCAACCGCCCATGCGATCTGGAGAGGTCGGCGGCTGCAAATGGATGGGAGCTAAGAAGGGCTAAACGGTCGCCTCCAGCCTAATTTGAGAAATCCCTAGGGTCGATTTAGCGGCGTTTGAGCATCCGGGACGGCGGGAATTCAAATCGTTTCACAGGTTCTATCATACAGTCGTACAGCAGGCAGAAGGACCTGAGACATGGTTGAATGCCACCGTGCACCCTTGTGGTTGTTGGGATTGGTTCGGCCAGTGTGAAGGAATTGTAGGAAAGATATTGTTTTCATACGCCGGCACACACTGATCCCATGCAGGACTCTCAAGACTCTATTCTGTGCACTGTAGAGTGGTTATTCTTATGTGCCAAGGGATGCAATTTGTTCACCGCTTTCATCCGCTTTCCCATTCCCAACATGTCAACACTTTGGCCCTGATGGGAACCCTCCGAGCTGTGCCATGGCTGAACAGGTGTGGCACTTGTGCCAAGAAGATGGGAAAACCTTTGAGAAGCCTGGCATTCCAATGGTGGGATGTTGGGTCAGCTTTGCACAGGGGTCTGGCGCCGGGTTCTGGCCAAGCTCGTCGACAGTTTAACAAGTGGACGAGCCAATCACTAGACGGAACTCAGTGGAACCTGTCTCCCGACTTCTTGAAACCCTGATGTTCACATAGTTTGATTCTATCGGAACTCATTCTATTCTGAGTTGTTGCAAAGTTAATGATCCTTTGGCATGCCCTGAGTCAAATCATCTGACCTTACTGAGCCATTTACCCCAGTGTGGCAGGCATCAAACATCGCGTTTGATTTCACGAAGACCAACGCTTCCGAGACCTCGGCGCCGCGGAACTCGTTCGCCCCAGGAAGGTGATCCTCTCGATCCACTCCAACGGATTTGCCATTAGCTCCATGGCGTGGTCAGGTCGAGCTCACCGTCTTCGGGAAGATGTGAATGTAGAGGTTGAATCAAACAGCTGTTTGCCAAGGAGAGGTTCATGGTGGTGAGGCAAAATACCTCGATGTACTGCAGGTGGTGCTTGGTGTGGATTCCCTCAAATATGTTTCAGAAACTGTTCGCGGTTTCCACAACTGCCCTGCCAGCAAGAACTCGCTGCTCCCAGACTATGGTGACTATGGAGTACGGAATACACTATGAGCAAAATCCTACCCCACCTGGGTTCTACTAACAAGAAGCTATATACTCTAGTCTCGGAGTGTTTGGCCCCAAAACCAGGGTGTGCGCCATCTTTTGAGCCATATGTCTGGTTAGACAGAAGCCAACCAAACCGACAAGGATAGACACCTTGCCAACCAGTAAGAGAAGGCCAACCATTGGAAAGCTGTTGCAGCAGGTGATGGGCACAGTAGATGGCGCAGGGGAAGGGGGGGGGATGAAGAACGGGGCGGAGAGCCCATAGCAAGGTCACGGGAGAGCGGAATGCACAGAAAACAAAGCAAACCAACAAGGATAGACACCTTGCCAACCAGTGAGGGAAGGCCAACCATTGGAAAGCTGTTGCAGCAGGTGATGGGCACAGGAGATGGCGCAGGGGAGGGGGGGGGGGGCCAGGAGATTTCCACATCAACAAAAACATCGCTCCATCTTCTGATGCTTGTACTTGTAGCGCGCAGCTTTCCAGTAGCTGGAGCGCCATCTTATATGTTTGCGCCATCTTATGTGAGTGTTCTGAATTGCCCAAATGTGCCATCTTATATTTTTGTTCGGGCCATCTATTCCGAACGTAGTGTACTAGGAGCAAAGGGCATCGCTACTAGGAGCAAGGACGCTACTAGGGGCTCTTGGCCTTACTACTAGGAACAAGAAGCTACTAGGGGCTCCGGGTGAATGTCTTGCTAGAAGATGCTAGAAGGGGGCCCGCCGGTGCGACAACGTATTGATCCCTGAGGGGTGACCAATAAAAGGATACACTGACGGCTCATGTGCTGAACCTTACTCCCATCTCCTGCCCAGGATATCCTGATGACGACTATTCTTTGATGAGTATTGCATGGTCACCTTTTTCACTGGTTCAAGCCTGTCGACTTCATACCATTCAGGCGCTGAAACTGGTTGGTGTCGAAATAGTGCAGGCAGGAAAAGCTGGCATCAGTAATTCCACAGTTGTGGCATGTTGTGGCTACTGTTGATGAGTTTTGCACATCGTCTCCAAATTCCGCATGTGAGAACTACCTAAGTAGCTGACAACAGCTTGTGTAGACTCGCTTTCCATCACAGAACCATTCAGCCATCCAAGACTTTGGAGCTGATGAGGATGGAAGAATCTTGAAGGATCGTTGTTCATACAGTTCAAACATGTTCAAACCATCTTTGAAGATCTCCCGTTTGCAGCCGTCAGGCGGACCAGTCCCAACCTTGGCTACGGCTTTTTAAAGTCTCCCGGCGTGGCGGTTTTGTTTAAGGGATGTGGCGCCTGGGAAAGGTTTAGTCGGCTGGGACGTGCAGGCAGACACAGGCACAAAGACTATGGCAGACTTATGTTCAGACAGGGATTTTGACCACGCTTAATTCCCGAAGACTGGCAGTTTGACATAGGAAATGCGTGGGTTGCCAGGGTTGGGGATTTTTCTAATCTTTCACATCAGTGGTCTCATACCTTGGAGTGGTCGCTGCGTCTCAAGCAACGATGCCAGCACTGTGTGGACCATTCCTTTGGCAGGTTCGAACAAACCCATTGGTTTGCTGACCAACGGAGCAAGAACCGATCGAGTGGTGCTTTGAAGCAACGATGGTTTCGCCACGGCGATTCGGGTTGCAGAATTTTCGCGTTCCCGCTCCGGTGCAATCCAAATGCCGTTTCTTTCTCTCTCTCTCTCTCTCTCTCTCCCTCCCCCACAAAGGAAATACACGACATGGGTGTGTCACTCGTTTTGCGCCATACACCCATTTGTCCTTGACCCACACTCATACGTGTTTTTTAGGTGTCGGTCTTCCACCATGGGCTGACGCATTTCTTCGCCACCCATGGCTTGGGTGCAGACACCGAGCGGGCACGCTGGGTGGCTGACGCGCCTTGACCGGAAGGACAGATACTTGTAGGGCCTTAGGAAAGCCGATGGTTTGAACTGCGGAGGATTTCAACAAGTGTTTGCTAGTTTGTCATTTACATGTGTTTGTTCTTTATCTAAGTCTTCCTGAAGCTGGTTCCAGAGCATGGGGCATGTTGTCCGGTTGGTGACCGGTGTGGGCGAGGCGTGCAAGAATCTTAGGCTCCAGGACCTGAGGAGGTCACCGGGATCGTCCCAGATCATCTCGGGACAAATGTGTTTAGAAGTTTAGAAAATACCTTTGTACTCTGGCATTACGTGGACCCATTCAAAACATATCAAAACTAATTACAACATCATATTATATACATATATACTGTTGTGAGGGCATGAATTTTGATTGACCCATGGTGACCAATCACATGAACCAACCACTAAACAGATAGGTCTAGATACAACCTCTGGGAAAGCGGGCCACCTGGGCCAACCGGGCTTGTGACCGTCCTTGAGGTGTCGCGCGCCTTGCGGATCCTCACGCAGTCACTCTTCCCGAGCTTTCAGTTGGCGGTGTTCCCCCTTCCGGGAGCCAGTTGGACCTCCACACGTCTACTGGCAGGTGGGGAACGAGGGAAGCAAACTCTAAAGACTTGGTCATAGACTAAGTAGTTCCGGGTCATTTCTGACGTTTGTGTCTTTGGGGATGCAATTTGTTGGTGTTCCTCTAGCAGCACAAAAAAGGATTGGAACATCATTGAACATCCACGTTTATTGCATCCAAATGCTGTAGGGTGCTGAACTTGTACCTGGTGGCGATTTGCAGCCTGGCATATTGCTTGGTGTCCCCCAAAAAGTCTCCATACAAATCGATGTCGTGGTTCATCAGATGCCCGATTTGTGCACACGTGGGCGGTTTTCCCGTGTTTTGCTGCGCCCGCCAATCCGATTTGCGGCAGGCTACATGCTGCTCTATGATGACCAGGGTGTTTCCTTGGTGTATGGCACCTTGGCGGATCTACCGTTTTTGGTTCCACTCACAAGAGGTTTGTTTAGGGTGTCATGAGGATTCGTTTGGACCCAATGCTGTTCATGCTAGTCCTTTTGGGAAGAATTAACTATTTATAGTAACTATTATAGTACGTACTGTAGTGTTTTGACGTCGATGCAACCGCTACAAAGCGCACAAAGGCATTTGTTGAGTCTACCAAGCCCATGGTTTTCAACATGTCTCTTTTTGTCACTTTCCTCGGATACCTAGGCAGGTCCCGACCTGTGCACGCATGTGATATACCTTCACCCATTGAAAGGCATTCCTGAGTGAGTACTCTTTGCGCTCACGTGCGTTCCTTTGTATGGCCTTGTGTTCGTCAGGAGAGCTGCATGCACATTGCGATAATACAGCGGGTTTTGCGGCCTATGAGGATGATGCGTGTAAGGCTTGGACCGCATCGCTATCATTGAGTCGAGGTTTCTTGGGGCTCGGCTCTGAAAAAGCTACAAGAGGAGGAAACATGCTGATCAGCATGGGCCTTGGCAGCCTTGACTGCCACAAATCCATGGGGCACCTGAGAAGATGTTTACCATGGTTACGCACCGCCCTATGTAGTTTACCAAAGTTTACTAGTTTCTTAATCAACAAACCAGTTTGTTGTTCATGAGTACACTGGAAACTGGAAACTACTAATTATAGCTTATATTGGCTTGCGGCTTGCTATTTGTGCAACACATTCATCATACACACGCATATCAGACAGCGTCACTTCCGAAACACTACTACTGGTCGTACTACACTATATATATAGAGAAACCGTGTGTTCAAGAAAAACATGTTTGAATGAACTTGAGCTGAACAAGCGGGCTTATTGATCGTGACTGTATCTGGAACAAGTCATCCCATTTCTGTTTAAAAAGATGGTTTGGGGGAGCTCATGGGGACTCCATGTGGTTCTGTGTGTAGTCTAGTCCATGTGTTTGGGGAGACCGGCCTTGAAGTTGCTTGAACCAATGCTGATGTTAATGCGATCAACCAGTCCAACGAGCAACCGGCCAGGTTCAGGTGGTGCACCTCGCGATTGACACCAACACTTGCACCTCGGACGGACGGTGAAATCAATACGGCAGATACACGTGGCCCTTGGCGGTTTGGTGCTTGCGGCTTCAATTTGGTGCCGTTGCCTTGTGGGTATGGGTACGACTCTACCTGGGCGCCTCCAAAAGAGGTCTGCCAGATATTCCCAAGTTTGGGGCTATATATTTGGGTTCTGGTTTCCGACCCTTCCAACTCATGAGGGCTTGCAATTCGAGACGGACAAAGCCACCCAAATCTCCGAACATCCTTTGACCGGACAAAGGACACTGAATATTGGTATCTTGCACATTTGTGCTGGACAGTTTTGGTTTGTGTGGAGGAGGAACCTGATACTACATGGGCTGCAATGAGAAGGGTGCAGCAGGGTATTCTGAATGGCGGTGTGTTGGAAAAAACAACTCATTGTGGCTACCCACGGAGCATTGGAAGACTGAAAAGGTGTTTGACAAAAAAGACAAGCACATGAAAAACATTGAAAAACATTGAACAACAACGGCAATCAAAGACACTTGCCTAGAGGCTTCAAAAGATCATTTGGGAAACACAGAAACACGCCCACAACAAAGACATGACATACACAGACTCTTGCCGCTACTCTGAAATTCTGTGTCCTTTGTGGGAACACTTGATGCTCGTGACGGCTCAGTTTTCTTCACCAAACCCAGAAAACCTCTTACGGTTGAGAAGGTATCCTTGTGTCCAAATGTTCGGGATATTCCCTTGTTTTCTTATATACACCCAAACCATCCCAAATCCCTGTATTCCCTTGTGTCAAAACGTTCTGTTTTGAAACCGTGGAATCTTCTCGTGTGATCACTGCGAGCCGATCACTGCCGAAGGTGTGAGCGAGCGCGTGGGCATCGACTGCAGCTGCTTCAGCCTGGGTGGCTTGAATGATTTACTGTATCGTAATTATAGGTTGAAGCACCAAAAAAAAAGGAGAACGCATATGCTGGTGTTCCCAGCACATCCCAGCTCTGTCTTATTCAGATCGGTTTCACCAGCTTCCCGGCTTCCCCCTTTGTCGACGTTGTTAGGGCAACAGGTACCATGGGACTCATGATTGTAGTGAGAAAAAGGAATTTCTTAATTCTTTCATCAGATATAATTGTACTATGTTGATCTCAGTTTAGCTTGGACAAACTATTCTCATCTACAGTGCACAGGGATGGCAACCCCAAGAGCCCTGACCCCTCCTACCTTTGTTTGAGGAATCAATTGGTAATTTTCACACCTCCCTTGCTGCGAAAGAACCTGAGTTTGCCCTGTTGGAATTCGAGAAAATGAGGGCCACGAGGGCAGCCTATTCAATGATGATGCTATTCTGGCAAACAAATGGCAGCAAAACCTGCGAAACGAGCCCTTGCAATGGATTCAATGGATGTTTTAACCTCCACAAAGACGACCCCAAGGAGGGGCCCCTTGGGCTACTTGTAGGGGGAGCTTCTGAGGAAAACATGTGGCCCTTGATGGGAGACTGGTAGAGACCAACACGTTCGCACCAAGGGGACCACCACTTTTCCACGCGGACCTGTGCGGAGAAGATGCTGTGGCTCCGGGCTATCAGCAACGTCAAGGTGGGCTTTGTTCCGCCGTGAGTGTTTGTGCAAGTTCACCGCACCACAGCTGGGTGGGTAATGTTGGATCCTGATTAGTAAATGGGCCCTCTATAATGCTAATTTTTTCCAAAATTATTCAGACCCACCTGTTTGAAAAATGGTTCCTGAATAATGCTAACTTTTTTGGGGGCCCTAAATTTTTTATATTGGAAACCTATTTAATAAGGGTTTGAATTCCTTCTGAGGCCAATGATTATGATTCATTAGCTGATATAGCTTTCTCTAGG